TGGAGATAGTTTTAGTTCTTCCTTTCTAATCTGGATGTCTATGGTTTTCTTTTGTTTGTTTGTTTTTCTTGCCTAATTGCTCTGGCTAGAACTCCCAGTACAATGTTGAGTGTAAGTAGAAGGGGACTTCAAAAATTTTGTGGGGAAATGGGAATTAAAGGATAAAAATAAAAAACATAAACTATATTTGTATTAGTCCATTTTTGTTGCTTATAACAAAATACCTGCAACTGGGTGATTTATTAAAAAATGAAATTTGTTGCTTGCAATTTCTGAGGGTGGAAAGCCCAAAGTCCATTTGGTAGTGGTGACCATGACCCAGGGGTCTCACATTGCAAGGTGTTGGAAGCAGAGAGAGCAGAGAGAGAGAGACTCTCCTCTTCTTTTAAAGCCCTCAGAGCTATGTCCCTGACCACCATTTTTAATCCATTCACTACTGCATGGTCCTACAATCCAATCACCTCTTCAAGGCTCCATCTTTCGATTACCATAATAGGATTGCTCACCCTCTTAACAGTCACAGTGGGGCTGTTTCTAATACAAAAAACTTGGGGAACACAATTCAAGCTTCAATGAGTTTTGGGGGACATAATTCAATCCACTACAATATTTCTCAACATAAGCTCTATCAACTTCAAGACACTTTTGTAAGTGATGATACCAACCATTTAGTTCATCCCTAAAGAACTGAGGGTCCTGGGAATTTAACCATGTCAATGTAGTCTTCTTTATATTATTAAATGAAGAAAAATAGCTGCCCTCTAAAGATATTTTATGATTAGGAAACAACAAAGTCAAGGGTTTGGACCCCTTACCAGCCAGCCAACAAAAACAAACAAAAAAAAAGGTTTGGAAACAAGAGGTCAGGAGCCAAATCAGGACTGTACAGTGGATGCCTAATGACTTCCCATCAAAAATCTCACAAAATTGCCCTTGTTTGATGAGAGGAAAGAGCAGGAGCATTGTCATGGTGGGGAAGGACCTCTCTGGTAAAATTTTCCCAGGTGTTTTTCTGCTAAAGCTTTGGCTAATTTTTCTCAAAACACTCTCATAATAAGCAGATGTTATCATTCTTTGGCCCTCCAGAAAGTCAACAGCAAAATGCCTTGAGCATCTCAAAAAACCATTGACATGACCTTTGCTCTTGACCCATCCATTTTTGCTTTGACTTGACCACTTCCACCTCTTGGTAGCCATGGATTTGATTGTGCTTTGTCTTCAGGACTGTCCTGGTAAAGCCATGTTTCATCTCCTCTTACAATTCATCAAAGAAATGCTTCAGGATTTTTATCCCACTTGTTTAAAGTTTCCATGGAAAGCTCTGCTCATGTCTGCAGCTTATCTGGGAGCAACAGTTTCAGCACCCATCAGGCGGAAAGTTTGCTCAAATGTAATGTTTCAGTCAGAATTGTGTAAGCTGAGTCAGTTGAGATGTCTGTGGTGTTCGTTATTGTTTGTGTTCTTAATCACCAGTCTTCTTCAATTAGGGCATGAGCAAGATTAATTTTTTCCTCCCAAACTGACATGGATGGTCTGCTGCTGCAGCCTTCATTTTCAACATTGTCTCATCCTTTCTTAAAATGAGTTATCCATTTGTAAACTGCTGATTTCTTTGGAGCATCACTCCCATAAATTTCTTGTGAAGCATCAGTGATTTTACCATTCTTCCGCCCAAGCTTTCCCATAAATTTGATGTTTTTTCTTGCTTCAATTTTAGCAGAATTCATGTTGCTCTAATAGGGGCTCTTTTCAAACTGATGTCTTATCCTT